CTTCGTCTTTCGTAATAGAGCCGTTTCCATACGTACCCGTCTGGAACACACAGCCCCATCCGCCCCAATCCCCAATATGTCACTATTATATATTTTCCTCTAAGAACTTTAAAAACATATAAGGCTAATGCGAGGTTTCATCTAACCCTCATCTCGTTGTAGCCAACCATACCCAGAATAAATAAAGTTGGGTACATTAATGGGTACATATAGTAGACCCCTTAATAGCACATATATAGGTATCTAATAAATTTATTTTGCACACGTTCTAGCATTGTTGTATACCTATTTTCGTGCGGCGACCATATTACGGCGTTACACTCCAGATTACTTCTTACCAGTGTATTATACAGGGTAATGATTAAATTAATGTTAGTCAAACTGTGAACTGCGTGAACTCAATGATAATTCATTATTTAATCGAACGATTACATCTTTGACTTCTTTAACTCTTACCATTGGCGAACCATCCACTTCATAGTTATATACAATAAGTATACTTATAGTATAATAGTAACACAGTTGGAGAGGTTAAATTAAAAACGGCTATTTTTGCTCCATGCCACTACTCTGTTTACGTCCTGTTGTAGCTTTTCACAATCTGCCAATGTTTCTACGACATGATACAACTTGATGTCGTCAGCAAAAAGAAGGCACTTAGATTCCTTAATTACCTCAGGCAAATCGTTAACTAGTAATAAAAATTGAAGTAGCCCTAAATTACTACCCTGCCTCACTCCAGATTTTGTAATATATGGGTCTAACGTTAGGCCGGCATATTCCACATACTTCTTCCTACCTCTCATATAGCTGGCTAATAATTTTAACTAATGTGGAGTGAAGCCAACTGCTGCTATCTTTTTTAGCAAGACGTCTTTATCCACTAAGTCAAAGGCTTTTTTAAATTCAAAGTAAACGGTGGCGATTTGCACCACCCTATCCACTGCGTGCACAACTTCAGCCATGTAGCTAAGAACGACGAAATTGAATAATGTATTTACAAAAAACCTATTGAGGAACCAGACAATATACAAAAGTAGCTTTTAACATTCTTTCTATTCGGTCTTCATAACAGCTAAATTTCACAACTGTACAAATACCTCATGGGCCCCCCCACCTTACCCCCGCCCCATGAATGTGAGTTTGATTATTATACTCTGGGAGAAGATTTATTTATTTATCGACTTCCTATTTCAGCCTTTTAAAATCTAAAGCTAAGCAAAGGCCTCTCCCATAGATTTGCTTATATTTTAACAACAAAAACAGGTTTTAACATTCTATCCATTCGGAGATTCATTACAGCTAAATTTCACAGCTATACAAATACCTCTTGGGCTCCCCATGAGGGATATTGCAGGCAAAAAAGTAGCACTTATGGCATATTTCATATTCAAAATCCAATTGGTAATCGAATTTTATTATTTTTAGTTGGTGTCCAGAAGATACCGCTACTGCCAGTCTTCTGTTACAGTTCCTCTCCATCGCCTTACTTAAAAAAAAACAATTTTCAATAAATATTACATTGCATTGTATAAAATTCAAATGATGAATTGAGTAAACACTGAAATGTTATCATTTTATAAAGGAGGTATTGACATGAATATCACAAAATAAAATTCCACAAATATTTAAAACTAACAAGACATTCACGATTCAACAGTCGGTAAAACGCTTTGAACTAAATATTTACTCCTGCAACCGTACCGATATTTTGATTTCCGTCGACTAGAAGCATTTTATTCCAACACCTTTATTTAAATCCTATGACTTACTTGGAGTTCCAGAATAGAGAAGATATTATTTACAGTTCTTATCTTTTAGTGTATCTATATATGTATATATGTATAACTATCACATTTCTTTGTAATTAAAGTATTAATTTCCTTATTATGTGTATATTATTAAGATCTGTATATTATCACATGTACTTATTTATTTATTCAGACTTTATTTGCACACCAAGTACAAAAAGGCGTACTTAATGCAACAAGACATTCTCTACCAGTTGATACTTATTACAGATCTGGGACTTGTAGTGTTTACAGGCATTGCAATAATAATTATTTGATAATAATTAATTGCAATATAAATAAGATTTTTATTCAGCAACTAACTGGAATTCCATTATTATTAATATTTTATAATTTTAATAGGTAACAAACGAGACACAGTCCATTTGATGGTAAATAGATTCTAACTTTGTACTGTATTGTACTGTACTGTAACGGCCAAATATATCTCCATTTATCCTCAATTAAGAATCAAAAGATTGAGATCAATCAAGAAAGAAAAGATGGGATGCCGTAAAAGCGGTCTCCGGTTCTCTTCACGCTCCATACGAAACACAGCAGTATTACGGCTATATATATATATATATATATACATTCGTCAAATTATTATAAGTCAATAGACGTAAACTTATGTTACTGCGTTGTAGTTGTAGCACGAATTTGTCAGCTCGACCGCCGGGGAAGGACCACGCTCTCACAGAATGCAAGTGTTTCTTATGTGTATATTCGGTGAGTGTAGAAAACTGGAGACACTTTTTACTGAAAACGAGGCACTTCATCTTAGTACTCATGGTTGACAACGCATCTGCATTTTGATTTGCAATCGAGGATAGATATAAATGTCTATGGGCACCACTTACGATCAGGTGGACTGTGTGCTCGTTTGTCACCCTATCCTATAAAAAAATATAAAACACTCATGTCAACTTATTGCTTGCACTTGCACGGCAGTTAAAGGTAAACAAATGTATTTGAGAGATATATTGTATATTATTAAATTTCTTGAGTGTATATATTATCATTCCTAATTAAGCATTATAATTCTTTCAAATTTAGAACGATATTTCCACGTTGATTTCTTCTGCGTCAGCAACGCGCTGGATACCAGCTTGTATCGATTAAATAAGATCTACCGTTTAATTATATCAGTACGCAACTCATCATTTTGTACGTCTGAAGTGGTTGCCTGCGTATTCGGTATACATTAGGATTTCTTATTTATGTAGTTCGACATTTTCCCATGTCAGCTTAATTAGAGGAGTTAATGAGAACACTATTTAAATATCAACAGCATTTTAAAGTGCAGTGAAACAGGTTTAAGCGTTGTGACGCCGTTTCCGACATTATTATTATAAAATTAGTGGCTGCCAGACGTAGTAGCTGTGTAAGTTTATCCACTACCCGATATCGTCCCGTGGATGTCGTAAGAAGGTAATTGAAACAGAACAGCACCATCTTTCTTATAACAACTAAAATTATAAAAATCTGTGGTAGCCAGCCTGCTTGCCAAACTTAGCAACTAATACCAAATCCCCCCTATGAAGCAGTTGACGAGGAAGACCAATGCTCCCAAGTGGATTTTATAGGCTGAAATTATTCTTAGAAAGTTACGTTAGAAAGTTAGCTTTTAAAATAAAAGAAATCATAATCTCTGATGAAACGCTTTCTGAGAGACACTATACCGAAGTAATGTCCTTGAAATACTTCTGTATTAATGAAAAAATTGCAATAACATACAAGATTTTAGTGCGCGGAAGACTATGAAGATGTAAATAAAGAAAAATCTTCTCTTTATGTTTTGGTTTGATCCTGTTGTCACTTGATTATTTGTTAAACATGTTTTATTTTTCTGTTACTTACCATGTACGGACTATACATGTTTAATACATATATATTTCATAACTTACATGTTTTTATTAAATTAATTTAAAGACTTTTATTGCTGTAGATCCACACTGCACTTATATTGGGGCTGCAGCGACTCGAACCGGAGCTGCACCCTCTGCATGGTGTGTGTAGAGGACCGGAGACGAACGCTCTACGTGTCATTATGAGTCACCCGAGTTCGTTTCCGGCCGGTACTACTTTTTAATCGCAAACATACAAAAACATATGTATGATTAGGATATTTTAAATGTTGCTTTCAAATATAATAGTATTAATTAGGTAGTTAACACTGGTAGAACCAAAATTTACTTAAAAAAAGATTTACTTGCTGTGACAATTCGTTCGCGTAGAAACTATTACTTCGAATGTTTTACAGTTGTGTAAGTTCGTAATTTAATAGGTTTGAAGCCTTATTGTTTTAGCTTTAAGTATAATTTTATCAACTACACTAACGTGAAGGCGTAAGAAAATTCACTACTCCATAACATCAACCCATAGGTATCGTAAGAGGTGACTGAGGTCGGCACCTTGCAAGCGTCGCAACCATGGCAAATATTTATGAGGCAATGTATGAGGACTTTTAAGTTCAGCAGTAAATTTTCGATTATATGTAATGATGGCGATGAAACTATTCTATCGTTATTTGAAATGGCACTAATAAAGAGAGAAATGCCTATTCAAATCTCGTTACAGGTTATTGTGTGTACAACGTTTCCAAAAAAAATTATTTTGGTATCTTTATTGAATTTATATTAAACCAAAATTTAAGTTAAAAAAACGTTCAATGTTCAGAATTAATCTTCTTAGGAATTTATTAGTATAGATTTTACGAATAAAACATCTCAAATACTAAATTGATTGTGTAAAAGTATCGTTGCGTTTTTAATGTCCTCGAAAAAATTATTTTCATTTTAAGTTTAATTAGTTTACCTCTTAAAATCAATTTTGTTTTATTTGTGTTCAGCTTAAATTGAGACAAAACAGAACAAAACAAAACAAGTGAGAAACGCGAACAGAATCTGTACAGGAATTGAGAAAAGCAATTTAAGTAATTCAAAACTGTTTCAGCGCCTGATTCAAAGATTTGAATTCGTTTAACGTTTTTTAACTACTTTGCTGACTAAGGCACTTTAAACTTTTTAGAAATAAATGAAAGAAACATTAAAGAATTGTCATTTAAATTCAAGCAAATAATGAAAAGAAGTCAATCTATTATGTATTTTCAGCGCTTTGACATTTAATGATAACAAGTAACAGCATATTGTTAAGACTAATGGACTTGTTTAAAATTAATTAAAACAACTTTTTATCTTGTTATTCTTTTTAATGTTCCAGAAAATTTTTAATAGCCTTGAATATATCATCGGCCAGTTCTCGTGGTCTTTCTAAAGCGGCAAAATGTCCGCCAACGTCCAGGGTAGTGGTGCCAAGCAACGCGGGATATTTCCATTTTAAAATCCAATTAGGTTGATGTACTAACTCGTATTTCATTCGAAGACCCCATGTTGGTACTGTAGTTGGAATTCTGAACAAATACAAACTTTAAGATTTTTTTAATGTGACTCAAGTTTTGTAATTCTTTGTATGATTTTAATCAATCAATATTTTCTTTGATAGCAGGTAACATTGTTGTTTTATTGTATTAAAATTAGTTTACGATGGGGCTGTCATAATCAAAAGTATGATTAGAATTCCCCAAAAACTATGAATAAAAGGAATATTTCTTTGTTTCTACAGCTTAAGGGTTAGCCAAGTTGACTTGACCCAAAAATGTCACCTTTACTCCCTCATCGACATACATTTTCATATAATATATCGTTATCATCACCTGTTTTCCTTTTCTACCCGATTAAATCAGTGTAAAGGCAGGATAAGACTATTGGTATCATTTAAAATCGTTTTCTAGGTTTCTATATTTACAAAATGTTTCGTTTTACATTTAGAAATATTTTAAAATATAAACGACATGTGGTTGCGCGGAAAACCATTCGCGTTTTTTTTATTTATGACGGTAGGAACTTGCTGAATCATTATTCCTTTCCAAAACGATATCATTCGTACCCTCGTATCGACACATCGGGGTGATGGGGTGGGAGGGGAAAGAAGACGATTCTAGAACATCGCGTAATCACCGGAGCCGAGGATATATAAGACACGCGCGACCGACGCGCGCTCTCTTCTTCCCGCCGCAGCCGTCGTTGAACTACAACGCTTCTCTCCTGACGCACCCCTGGGGCCCCAGAGTGTCTGTCCAGAGGAGGTTCCGGAAGTCGCCGCTATAGTGCTCTAAAGGATAGAAGAACCCCGGTGAGTCAATATTCCTTAATTTACTGCCTGATTAATATTTAATAATTGTTTTAACCGTTCCAATTCTGTGTTCTCCTCATCAGGCAGGATTCCTTTCATCGATTTGGCAAGTAATAGTTTTAGTTTAGGGAAGAGCGAGTGCATTGTACCGCATGCTATAGTAGTCGCTTTTACGTAAGCGTAGAAGCAAACGCAAATACAGTCCACTTTAGTTAATATCTCGCGTAATAGGTTTGAGGTTTGACCGGGGAACTAGATTTTCGGCAGCCTTAAACACGTGGCTCCAACAACATGGAAAAACCACTACTTATGGTTAGAATCTGCCATACCATTACTGTCCTTAACGCTAAATTTTTTATAGGATAAGGGTAACAAACGAGCACACAGTACACCTGATGGTAAGTGGATGCTGTGGCCCATAGACATCTACATTTAACCTGCGTTGTCACCCTAGAAGACTAACATGGAATGCCTCGATTCCAGTAAAACGGGTTTTCGGTTCTCTACACTCATCATACGAAACACAGCAGTATCAAGCTGCTACTTTACGCTGGTATTATGTAAGAGCGTGGTCCTTCCCAGGTCGAGCCGACCCATTCATGATACAACCATAATATAGCTGCAGCGTGGCTCTACCACGTTCAAAATGTTACCAAGCAGGGAATTTTGCAAATTTTTACCGCTACCAGAAGTCTACTATGTTTATTACTAGACGGGCTCTAGGGTACTAATAGATTGTGCATTAAGTGACTGCTAGTTCTGCGTAAACGTTTACCACGTGCTCGGCGGTGAAGGAAAACATCGTGAGGAAACCTGCATGTCTGAGGAATAAGAAAAAAATATTTCGAAGGTATCTGAACTCCTTGCCCTAAAACCCTCTCAGAAATGAGGGGAGGCCTGTGCCCAGCAGTGGGACGTATATAAGCTGTAACTTTACCTTACCTTTACCTTTTTAATTATAGGCGAGAACTAGTTTTTTGCTTTGTATACCGCGACAATCTAACACTGAATTTGTTTAATGTTACTAAGAAACAGTTCCAGTATTTATTTGCATTCGATTACTTATCGAATCACTGATTCTCATAATCAATAAATATTGTACAGTTTTTTCTTTAAAATTCCAAGCATGAGGTAAACATATCTAAATTATGTCAAAACAGGTGTTTACTTCTGATTTGCATACCTTCCAAGTATCTGTTCAGTTTCATAATTTACAAAGCTTTCCTTATATAGTCTTAAAGATGTTGTCATACTGTCAGTAATCCAATACAGCATTACATTATCAAGAAGATCTGTTACTGATATGCTTTCTAAGCCACCGGCTACAGTATCCTTGTTGGAGGAATTTGTGAACATCATATATCTATCGAGCATGTAAGCAGCCATTCCAACAGGCGAATTTTGAAGAGCGTAACCTGTGAATATATTTAAAAAAGTTGTAGCATAAAATCAAAAATTAATGAAATAATTTGACGGATCAGTGGTGCAATTCAAATACCGTACGCACAAATGTTTGCAAACAAATATTTGTGCGTACGGAACTTGAACTACAAATCATTGCTCCATTTTACACAAGTAATTGTAGCGTAACGTCTGAAATGACGTACATCAATCAATTTACCAAGCTATACTTATTAATTATATATAAGCTTACCAGTGGGCCGACAATCACCTGATAAGAATGTTAAAAAAAGTAAATGGACTAGTAAAAGAAAACTAATTTAATAATGATGATGATCTTCTCTGGTAAATCTATCAAACGTCACAGAAAATTTTAGACATCTCAAAGATGTTTACTTTTATTATTTAATACTTTACTTTAATTTTATTATACATAAAAATGTTAGTAAAACTACGGAGAGGAGACATGCTGCAGCTGTATTAGGTGGCCGCAGCAAAACTGGGGACGAATTGAGCTCTCACCAACGTGTAAAAGCATAATGCTGTTGTATTTTATATGGTGAGCGGCGAGAATTGAAGACCTTTTTTACTCGTAACGAGGCATTCTATCTTAATCCTCAGGGGTGATAAAGAATCTTCATTTTGATTCTTACAAAACGTAGGTATTTATAGGTGATAGCACCCACTTAGCGTCAGGTGGATTGTGTGCTCTTTTATCGTTATTTATAGTATTAAAAAACTTACCTATTGTATCAGGTTTCGTGCCCTGCAAATGCATGTATCCAGACTCTTCTATTAAATAACTTAACTTCTCACTAAGAGGATACATTCTATCAGAATGCTCTCCACCAATTATCGTTGGCCAAATGGATCCAAATACCCAAATTAACTGCGCCAACTTCGAAAAATTAACTGGAAAGTTTGTGTGGAAACCAAGAACTTCATTTGAAAATAACGTTGCCATGTGTGAGCCAATAGAATGACCGAAATCTCCACCTTGGATGTAATATTTATTATGACCGATCCTTCGCATCAGATTCCTCATTATTATGGCTATTTCATAAGTCGTCATTCCTCTTTTCGTTGTTGCCTATAATTTATTTTAAATACACATATATACACAAACAAATTATTTTTTGACGTCACCCAAAACTATAAATTATTTATAAGTGTACAACATGTTTTTACAATATGTGATAAATGATTCTTGGACACCTGCAACCAATTTAACGTAAGAAGCCCTAAGGTAAGTCTAAAAAACTGGGAGCCCTGTTTGCTGGTATTTTGGTAGAGGCACGCTGTAGCTAAATGATGTTTGTAACACGAATGGGTCGGCTCTACCGGGAAACGACCACGTCTTAGTAAAAAAACTAGTTCTCAGGGAGACAACGCATCTACATTTTGATTCTTAATCGATTGTAGACGTCGTCAATGGGCCACAGCATGCTTTTACCATCAGTGGGACTGTGCCGTTTGTTGACCTTTTTAAGGAAAGCAAACTAAAATTATACATAGTTTTTATTTATACTGAGAAGGAAATTAAGTAAAATAAAAATTGGAACATAAATACCTGCGAGTAAACAAATCCAGGCAAGCTGGGAACTATTACTTCAAACACAAAATCATATCCCGGTCTCGGTGTAGTCAGAATCGGTATTACTTCGAAAAAGTCTCTGAAAGAGCTTGGCCATCCATGTAGAAGAATTATTGGTAGAACCTAAAATAATATTATTTATACGAACGAATAGAAAATTTATGGTGAATGGGCATAAAGACATGTGTCTATGGTTAAGTTATTTTTAACTTTATAAGCCAGTGCCTAACTGCCCCATCTGGTGGCTTGTGGTGATGAAGTGGTAAATCTCACTGTCACATAACAAAACCCCATTCACTGTTGTTTTTAATACACCCAGATTGTAATCGTACGAAAGGACAGACGCGGGTAAATTATTCATCTATTTTACCGAAAGCATAACTTGAAGAAGGCAAACCGTTTGGCTCGAAGGGGGGAAATATCAACAACAAAGGTGTGAGGACCCTCCGTCTACCGGGTTGTCTTGTTGGCTGGAAAGGGGGGGATGGAATTAAGGCAAGTATATGCTGCGCACAAATGCAAATGAATCCTATCAAATAAGGAGATGCTGGCTACTCTGCACTTGAGCTCACACCTGACAAAAATATTTCAATTCAAGATTATCCATCCACCTGTTTATTACAGTATGCGAGTGATTAATTCGCTCGCATACTGTCGTAAGAGCACGAAGAAACAAAGCAGGATAAAAGAACTGCAGTTGTCAATCCCCTTACCCAAAGTGGTAACCATGGCAAATGTAGAGGATATAAGGCAATATGTGTTGAAGGCCTTGTTCAGCAGTGGACTTTTATAAGAGGTCACGGTAACGATGTATTGTTGACTGTCCGAAATTGTTCGGGACCGATTGGAAAAACAACGCTGCAAGCTCGCGGCTCATTCTGAGACGTTTCCGTCCACTAGCTACCAGTAGCTAGCATTAGCACCATACTTTTTTTGTTTAAATATTATGTGTGTTTGCACAAACATATAATATGTGTCATTTTTTCTGTTTCTTTCTTCTTAATAAGTATTTTTTTCTGTAACTGTAATGTGTCATTTGTTGGAATAAATGTCTTTATGTGTTTATTATTCGTGGACGACAACTAAATAGCATTTACTTTAGCTGCTTCTTTCACAGCGGATATGACTGATGTGGCACCATCTGCCATATTATGGATCACACATTTTCTACAATTAGACTTTCATTACCTTTACATTTTTATCAACTTTTGGCTTAACATGCACGAAGTGAATATCCAATCCTTGAATATTTGTTTTGAAATGGTTGAACTTATTTAGGTATCTCACACGTTCCCTAAAAGGGTACTTAAACTGCCAGTGCGCAAAAACTTGTCCTAACGCATCGCTGTGAACGCCATAGCTCCAGGATTCATTCAGGCTTTTCACTCTACGCCTGCCGCGGTAGTGATCGAACAATACTCGGAGATTTTCTTGCATCTATAAACAGGTAAATTTATTTTTATTACTAAAAGAAACACAATAACAATAACTAAAATTTAAATGCTAAACACTAAAATTGTAATTCATAGAATGTGGGTTCGTTGGTTGATAAATATCGAATTCATTAACGAAAAAATAAACCAACAAGAAGTTTTGAATTAGCTACTCCTATAAATACCCGAGAGCAGTTGGTAAAGTTTTGTGTTCATTTGTTCCTTTTTGTTGTTGCTAATTAAAATATAACAGAAAGTTTCGATAGAGTTTATTTTTCTCGTAGAAAATAAATTCCCTTTGATTAATCAAAAATAATGACGAATTTTAAAAACTCCTTTCGAATTATATATTTTGATATATAATTTAATATAAGCTACTATTAAATACTTATTAAGTTTACCGTTTAGAGGTAGTGGAAGCATATTCATTACCGCATGTCGTCCTGTGGGTGACGTAAGAGGCGACTAAGGGGAAACGAACCAAGAGATGGGTAGCTTCGGTTTTCCCAATAAAACTAAAAGAATGCTGTTAATAGCAATCTAGACAATGTTCACCACTGAACTTTTATAGGCTGTAATGGATGGGATGGATAGTTAAGGTTGTTTGGGAAGTCTATTTAAAGCAGAGGATTTTAATAGGCTATAATGATATAAAACATGTAACATAATTAACGCACTTTGAGAAAGTAGTTTGTTCAGAATCGTTTACTGAATCGATTCCTACAATTTTTAATATAGGTAATTTTGTTATCCGAAAAATAATTAAAACTACGTAAATTACAGTCACACTAAATCTGTACAGTCAAAACAAACTGAAATGGACCGTAACTTAAGGCAATAAGACTTTTAAGACTGCAGTTTTATTTGTATTATTACTAATTCTGTCATTCAATAAAAATAAAGAAAAATGAACTTTATTTCAAGCATGTTAAAGTCTTTGCGTTCGTGGATTTGTAATGTGACCACAACATTCTTCCGGAATTAGTATAACTAATTTGATAAATAATCAGTGCATAAAATGTTTAACTAAAAATTCAGTTTATGTATTATGATTATAACGTAATATACTAATTGGGGTGTCTGAGGGTGTGCGTTAATTACGTTACATATTGTAGATAAGCTCTCGTTATACATTTTACAGTACGCGCATAACGACGATTCAATTAAAAACATGGTGAGGAAATCTGCATGTCTGGCGAATAATTATATTTCAAAGATATGATGTGACGCCCACCAACACGCATTGCAGTAACACGACGATCTTAACGTACCAATACCTCTCTCATCAATGAAAAAGGACCTGTTGTCAGTAGTGGGACGTATAGGCGGAAACTTAAGTGTAAGTTTGTAGTATGTGTTGTTAGAAAATACTTACAGCGTCCGTGAATACAACTCTATAAGGTCTTATTGAAGTATCGAGCGGCTTAGTGGTGTTTGGTCCCCACCACTTATCCAACTCGAAGTTAGGAAGTTCAGGGACTGTGATGAAGCTGTCATAGAATTTGAAGAAGGCCAGTCCAGTAAGCACAGCTACAATAGACGTCAACACTACGCATAACTGAAATTTCAAAAGAAATTAGGCGGATCAGTAACACAGTCGTATTAACCGTTAGGTTAGGTTTAGGATTAGGTTATGGTACTGCAGGGCCGCGGATTCGAATCCTGCACGAAACAAGATTTTTTATGGCCTACGAGTTTAAACCATTTTTCCGAGTATATATGTCTTTGTACATATATCTTTGTATATTATGGAATTATTAAATATATGTTTTAAGATGCTTATCAGCAATTCTATAAAAATATATTTCTTTGGAGCCACAGATAATTGACGTAGTTCTAGGTATTGGTTCGCAATTTTTATCTATTTATTTAACACTTATGTACACAAAAAGTAATGTTACAATGAAAAATTAAAAAAAAATATTTTGTACAAAGGCACAGCTTATTTCATATTGAAATTTCTTCTAGCAGGCCTGATACTGGTGAGATGCAAAGGGATGCGAATTTAGTTTGCACTCTCATAATAAATTTTACTATACTAATATACTTAATATAAAATAATGATATTAAAAACATACATGCATCCATACATAAAACATACATACACCTAAATACTTTACTACATAATAAAATACATATAGATGCACATATATATACAAGTCATACTTTAGATCATTGGGACGAGAATTTATGTTGCTAAATTGTTGACAGTTTGATGATGTATAGTAATGGGCCATCGTAAGCTCACACTCTTTTCTTGTAGAAAAGGGTTAATAAAATATTAAGGAATTTATGGATAATAACCCCTGGCAATGAGGTGTTCGCTACCAAGCTATTACTTATTTGTTTTGTGTTGATTATTTGTATAATAAACATGATTGTAAGCTGTTATTAAAAAAAAGTCTCGCTGGGTTTCTTCCTGGTTCTTCCCAAAGGTTTTTCCGAACCAGTAGTAATTAAACAAAAGGGTGACTTTTAATAAGAATTACTTATAATCTATATTGAATTAAAAGATTATGTTTCTGTTTCTGTAAATATTTTATACTGTAATAATTATAAATATTTAATTTTTAAATATTTTATTCTGTAAATATTTAATTTTGATATGCAATCCTACCACGGTACTAGATATTCCTAGTACAGAGCACCCCCCCCCCATTTTATTCTAAGCCTAAACATTTCTTTTCAAAAATAATGGTCCTTCAGACCTAATTTAGGTCATGACGGATCGTTCCAACGAAACTACCAATCTGCGCAGGATAAGATTATAGTGTGCTTGTGTGTATACAAAGACATGTATAGTTTCTATTCCTTCACTCCCATAGCCGGATACAACGACAAATCAACACGAATGAAAGTTGCAGTATGCTTTACAAACCATCCAAGTCACGGGGTAAAACATCGCCAACTCATAGATTTCAGGCTGTGACTGAGAATTTCTAGACAGAAAAACACATTATCTGATTTCCGCCTGACCATTGATTCGAACCCGGCACTACATGTTCGTCATTCACGGTTACAAACACTGAAAAAGTAAGGCAGTTATTGCTTATAACAGCCACATAAAGAGACAAAAATAATCATTTCCTAACAAGGCCCAAATTTATGGTAAACTTTTACTTACATTAAATGAGCCATTTGTAGTTTCCTTTTTGTCGATACTAGTATTCGTTTGCTTTTTCTTTTTCCCTTTAGTGTTTTCTGGAGCCATGTTTTCCAAACAAATCTATTTACACTGATTTGCTCTCAATCACTTTTATATTTCATAGCGTACAATCGGCAAAACAATCTTTATTTTATAACGCTCATAATTAAAATGCTTCAGAATTATATGCTATCTTATCTCGTTGGTAAGTTAGTTTATAATCAATGTGTAAAAAATAGATTGGATTTTTACTATCTTATCAATTATACGAGAGGATAAGCACTCGTAACAACGAATATACAAATTTCATTTTACGTGAGCAGCCGAGGTTCAATCCCCGCCGGGACTAACTACTCGTTGCACGGCATTGAAGGAAAACATCCTGAAGAAAGCTTTATGATTAACGTATATACGATAAGTGACATATATATGATATGTGAGGTCTGCCAATACGCATTATGGTGGCGTTGCATACACTGCCATACCTCTAAAACCATTTCAGAAATGAGAAGAGTAATTTTTCTTATCTTATCACGCATTACGATTAACTAATGTGTTGATTTCATAACGTGTTACAACTCAAGTCAATTTTATCTCTGTGTACATAGTCGAATATAATTCCGATATAAAAAAACACTATTTACATGACCTGTTTGTTAAACATGAACAGGTAGATAGATATGCATTATTTGCATTATTAATTGTTGTAATGGCGCTTTCTTATTATTTTCAACCGACCTCAAAAAGTAAGAGGGTTTGCATTTCATCTGAATTTTCTGCGTGTATTCAGCAACTCAATGATTCAAATTTGTTAGAACAGAGGTACCTCAGGTATGGCCCCATATAAGATTCAAGAAGATATGATTATTGGCTCCATGAGAAAATCATAACCCACCAAACGGAACAGTTCACAGACTATAAGGGCGAATATTATTTAAAATAAAAAGCGTTACCCTAGGATTTTCTCCTATATAGTGGAGGTAGTTTCATACATAAATACCACAAGGATAAATATTCAGACCCGGAACAATTAGTTTTAGGCCATACAGATACTTGTTTCGTGCAGGAACCCTAGTTTTAGGCCATACAAATACAAGTTTCTTGTGGGATTCGAATCCGCGGCCCTCAGCACCATAACCCATTGCTAAGCCACAGCGCCACATAGTCGTCAATTCATTTACCACGTCAACCGATTTCTATAGATATATTCTTTTTAATTGTTAGAAGTCGCCTTTTACTTTTTTTTAAAGTTTAATGATTACGTTACCTTTACCATCAAAAGTCAAATGCTGAACATATGCCACTTAAATAGATAAGGCGGTGTACCTGCCCGATAATTGGCAACCGCAGTTTTTATTTTGTGGTTGTTATTAGGAAGATACTGCTGCTCATATCCTGGTCTTATCACGTGCTCGGCGGTGAAGGAAACCTGCACGTCTGAAAAATAAAAATAACATATTGAAACTACGCAGCGGACATTTTCTTGCCCAAAAACCCTCTGTGACTGTGACGTATAGAGACCCTAGCTTTTCTTTCTATTGTGCAAAACTTAGCTTAAATTAAACTGGATAGAGCACAGTCATTCCACGTACCATCAGTGTGGTGGGCAGCATAAGAGAATCGACCAATTTCATGAGCGTTGTAAAAGGTAAATATAAGGACTAAAGGCAAATGTGCTCTCTTGTATATACCAAAATTAAAAAATACTCAGATCAGGCACAAAATTTGCAGTATATTTGTTATTGCAATCGCTAATCCAAGCGTTGAAAGAAAAAAGTTCCCAAATATAAGGTTACCAGATGAGAATTATTTTTATTTAAATAAAAAAAAGTTATGTCAAATAACCCGTTTTCCATAGAAACACCCAGACATTATCGACGTTGCAAATTACGCCACTCCCACGAAAAAACCGATACTATATTTTACAGAAAATTCTAAAAACCCTGACATTTCCAAAACTCGTCTGAAATCCTGACAATTGCACAAAACTACCGAAATATGTTATCTCAACTTAAATAATGTCGCTCAAGAAGAAAGCTTCTTAAATGTGTTATGTTTATATTTTTTGGGTACAGGTATTTAATGTCGGCGGTGGACAATGTTTTATTCTTTTGCTGAAAAAAATTGTTGTGGTGTTTGCTAATGATTTTGGTGAGCTTGTCTGTGAACAATATTTCTTTTTATAAAGATAAAAATAAAACCATAAAACTAGCTCCAAAATACAGTAGCGACCTTAGAAGTGGATTTTATAATATGGAAACAGTAATAAAACTGGCAATACTGGACTGATAGCAAATGTAGATGTAGATATCGTACTGCTAAAAAGGTTTTTTTACACTATGTGTTGCGGAGAGAGAGAATTAAAAAATAGCAAAGCTTGTGACTTTCGATCGTGAACTGTAAAGGGATGCAGGTTGAGAGAAAGGGCGTTCGTTAAAATAAATTGCACGCCTTTATTTTAACGAATCTTATCATTATCGTAGACGAGCTTACGCTTCTTCCTTTCTTTTGCGGACACAAAATTTCACTACTTTAATATACTTAAGTATTAGTACGCGGCGTCGTTTCTTCTGCTTTGATTACTGATTGACTCGAGACAGTTTCCAGCGGTATGATGTATATATATTAGGCCCGCCGCTGATTGCAATTTTTTGTCGACGTGACTTTTTGTCACTTAGTCAAGTGTCAATGAAGTCAATGAAAACTATATTGAGTGCGCTCATTACGGTGACAAATAGTTGCAGTGGCAGGCAACACCGGAGTGACGTGACTGTCACTCGCCCTGTGCATTATTATGGGAGTCCGCTCACTGGTGACTTTTTGTCACTCGGCCGGCGCCGCGCGTTCGGAGTAGACGTATGCTATTTAAAGTATTTATTAAATAGTATTAATATATGTGTCAAATTAATCTGTAGATGATTGTGATATTGCAATTTTTATGCCTCTGATTAATAAAGATTTTTTTGTTTAATTAAGTAGTTGATGTAGTTTTTGTTACTTACCTCAAATTTACCGTTAACCTTTCCTCTGCTTGAATAGCTTTGCAAAGCCAGCAACTCATCAAAAGTGTTTATATACATACGAAGATAATTAAAAAACTTTGGTGGATACTGACGTAATTCAGAATATATAGTGTAAAATTTTCCTTTAAATAATCTTTCCGTGTATATAGGATGCACCCAGTAGCGTTTTTTCCGTTTCATTTTTCTTCTACGTATTTCAAGAGCACAAATCACGGCAACCTCGTTGAAGTCCATTACAAAAATGAACGCAATTTGTTACCCAAGAACAGATTCAGTGAGCGCATCGTGGGTGACAGCAGGTGACAGTAATAATAAATCACGGTGACAAAAAATTGCAATCAGCGGCGGGGCGTGCGGTTGATGGGGAAGCGAACTCCCGAAATATGAATTTAAAGGAGGGTACATTTAGAAAAAGGCATTATATAAAATAAACTAGATGGCGCCAACATTATTTTTTTTTTTCGAGGGTAGGTGTGAAAAAGTTAACACGTTTTGATAAGAGCTCTTTAATTTTTAAAGTTATAAAATTAATTACACAGTATTATTTACAACTTTTTCAATAATATAATTAATAAATGTGACTTATAGTACCCACCGGACAGTATTTTCCTAGTAAGTCTCTAAAATTAACATCACTTCATAAACTTATTTTTTGGTTTATTTGCACTGTCACTACACATCACTATGGACTCAGTTAAAGAATCACTCAATGCTCTGGCAGAAATGTTCCAGCAGAAAATGAGTGAGTTTCAACAGGGCCTTGAAAGTACACCAACAACTAACACAACCCTGGGAACAGAGTTCAACAGTTTCAGGAGCTCTGTGCTCTCTGCAATGAACACCCTACAGAGACAGGTTGAATTCCTTAGCATTGAGCTTGATCGTCAGGAGATGCGTAGAAGGCGCAAAATGCTATTGTTCCATGGAGTCAGCGAGCAGAAAACAGAAGATACTGCTGCGCAGGTCTGTAACATTGTGGGTGAACATCTTGGTGTGACTGCCTTTTCTGCAGCTTGCATTAAAACTTCTCATCGCATGGGACGTCCCTCTGGCAAGAAACCCAGGCCAATATTGGTGAAATTTACAGACACTGCAACGCATGACAAGGTTTGGTTCTCTAAAACTGGATTAAAAGGCAGCGGTATTACTCTGTCAGAGTTTTTAACAAAGAGCCGTCATGGCTTGTTTATGGAAGCAAGGCAGCGATTCGGTATCAGTAAGTGCTGGACTAGGGACGGCTTTATTCATATCATAGCCCCTGATGGTTCGCGTCATCGAGCTGAGTGTAAGGCTGATCTGGACGGCATACCTCAGTTGTCATCTAAGCCTCTGACTCAAGGCACTGCTAGTCTTACTTCGAGGTCCAAAAGAATAGTAAAGACTAAGTAAACGATGCATTTAATATTCTTTTCCTATAATTTTACTTTTTGTTTGTTTATATTACATTAGTTAGAATATACATTGTAAACACAAATTTTCATCCATCTTCCTCTTTATTTGTATACTAACGATATGTCATAGTTTTACAAACTTTACGATTTGTTTTTATATAACGGTTTAAACTATTTAACCCTCATATTTATTTTTATAAGCTTGCATTGAAACTAGTAGATAAGTAGTTCGTTTTGTTTATCTTTATGACAGCAGTACTGTTTGACATCTAGCCACAGACAAAATATCTGCCGTGGCTACAAGGGTTTTTGTGTAGTACAACCATGTTGTTTATAATTTTTTATTTTTGTTTATTTTTGTTCATTTTTAAGTATATAAATAAGTATTTTGTATGTTTATAGTTACAATTATTTTTCTTTTTTTTTCTTTTTTTCTGTAAATGCTATTAATTTTTCTCCTATGAAGTGAATCTTTCCTTGCAACTGGCGGGTGGGTTTGTAAACCATTTTTTTTTCTTTTTTTTCTTATATTTATTATTTATATTATATTTATAGTTTGATATCTATGATTTCCAATAATGATAATTTAGACGACAGTTTTTTTTCCCTCGGTGATTCAGATGGATTGAGCAGTAATGACAGTTATCATAGCATCCCTTCTTTAAGTGAAACTCTTGATTCTCATTTCTCAGATACTCTGAAAAACTTTAATGTTGTTCATATAAATGCCCAGAGTATTCCCGCACATTATCCTGACATGTTGTCCTCATTTTATAATGAAAATATACATGCGATATTAGTTTCTGAATCTTGGTTAAAACCATGTTTGCCTTCAATATCTTACTCTCTTCCCGGATTCCACTTGATTCGCAACGACCGCCTTGGGCGCGCTGGCGGTGGCGTGGCGATTTATTTAAGATCACACATTCCTTACACAGTTTTAAATACTTCGCAGCCAGTGTCTAGCGCCGGCCCTGAACACCTATTCATCGAAATATTGTTTGGACATTTAAAGCTTCTTCTCGGTGTCTATTACAGTCCAAATGTTACAATTGATTATTTTTCAGCATTTGAAATTCTTTTAGAACAATACTCCTCGCTTTATAATCACACTATTGTCATGGGAGATTTCAATACTTGTCTTCTCAAAAATGATGCTAGAGCATCCCGTCTGAAATCTCTTGTTAATGGCATTAACTTACATATTCTCCCACTTTCAGCAACTCATGCTTTTCCTAATTGTGTACCTTCTCTCCTTGATTTAATACTTGTTTCTTCCATTGACCATGTTGCAAAGCATGGTCAATGCAATGCCTCCGCTTTTTCTTACCATGATCTACTTTACCTGTCCTATAAATTAAAACCTCCTAAGGCTAAGCGAAGGATCCTTCTCCGGCGCAATTTTAGTAGAATGGACCTGGATAAGTTACGAGAAGATACTGCTAAGGTTGACTGGTCAGTAGTTGCGAATGCTGGTTCGGTTGATGAGCAGATATCTATTTTTAACAGCATACTTACACAACTGTATGACATTCACGCTCCAATTCGTCCAGTTCGAATGAAGCATCTTCCTGCCCCCTGGCTCACTGCCGATATAAAAAAACTTCAAGAAAAAAAGAACATAGCGAAATCTAAATATCGTATGAATCCTAATGATTCTAACCGAGAGAAATATAACAGGGCACGAAATCGCTGCAATATGGTGTGTAGAGATAGTCAACGACGCCATATCCATAAATCTGTTGTTGAGGAAGATAACTCAACTAAAGTTTGGAACTTTCTCAAATCTTTAGGGGTTGGAAAAGCAAAGCGTAATGTAGAATCTCTTAATTTGAATTTAAATAAGCTTAATGCTCATTTCCTCTCTAGCGCCACTATAGACAGTGCTACGAAGAAAAATACACTTGCTCAACTTTCTGCTATATCAACT